TTCTTCTTCTTCTTCTATTGGTATTACGTCTAATTTTAAATACTTGCTACTACTTACTAAAAAAAAGAAAACATGCCTAATAAGAGGCGGCAGAGTAGGACTCGGTCGCGAAATCGCAGATCGTATTCTAGCCAACATGATTCACGCTACAGACGACGTAGCCCTTCAAGCAATATTTTGACCGAAACAATGCAACAAATTTTGAATAGATTGGTGTCATTAGAGAAACAACAGGTAGTGTCTTCATCTCAACGAAAGGAGTCTAGAGGCCGCGATGCAGTGGAAGTAGCCAAGTCCGCGGTGCCTGTGGCAACCATCAGCGCCGAGCCCGTTCCTGCCGTGTCGATGCCGCCGCCGTCGCAGTTGGGCGAAGCTGTGACTGCGAGCTCGCTTCAAGGGCGCGCTTTAGGCTTCAACGACTCCGTCCTCACCGGAGCGTCCCGCGAGCGCTACTTCAGTCCAGGCCAGCGCCGCCGATCACATCATCGATGCGATACGATCCATAAATATACCGGTGAGATCTAACCAGTCTTATTATATTTCTAATTTTGATCCGAGTGTTAATGACATAGAGACATGGTGTGAAGAAGTAGACCGTGCTACTAATAATTGGAGTGATCACGAATGTCTTTCTCGCATTGGCAATTGTTTACAAGGAGATGCTAAAACGTGGCTCAGTGAATGGGTAACGAATGACCGCAGTTGGAGTAATTTAAAAAACGAATTTAAGCCTTTATGTCTTTATAAGATTTTTTTGTATAGTATTATTATATTTTGAATCTAACCTTATTTGATAAGAATATTGTAGTTTCAGTGTGAATTGTGGGATGAAGTGTATTATAATTTTGAGAGATAGAAAGCTGATGTTTTCTTCTGAGAAGATTTCCAAGAACCATGTGGTAATTACATTGTGTTTTTTAATACAATAGTACTATATTTGGTATTTTTTGTTGTTTTGACTATTATTCTATCTCACTACATATATCATACAAATAAAGTATCAATGACTACACTTGATATTTTATGTACGTAAATAAATCTTATTCCATATTTACGTTAAAGTGTTGCTAAATGTTTTTATATTCGTTATTACTTAGTAAAAGTCAATGAAATGAAAGTTCGCTTTGAAATTGTATAGAAGTTCTTAATAAAATAACAGGTTATTCTTCACAAAACCGAATCAAGCCAAATTTCCATTACATATGTCTTAAACGATAGGGAATATTCTTACACTGGTTTGGAAGTTTTTTTGGGGTCGTAACTTAAGTTGAAAAAAAAAGAAGAAAACTACATAGGGTAAGTTAAGTTTGGAACAATAGAAAAGCGCAGTGTAGCATTCGTTGTGCTATATTTGGCTCGTTCACGTACCGACACGTGTTGCCGGCTCAAAGGTCTGACATCGACTGACGTCCCCTCTCTCCGGCATGTACTTATGGCGTGTACGCTCGAGACAAACAACACTACGTTTATGCATACACTACACGCAGGATAAGTAAAGCTAGGTTTATAACATGTATATTCACAGAAATATAATTTTTATAAAGATAAAATTTTACAGTCTATTCATATTTAAAAGAACTAAATGTTGAACTAGAACTTATGACCTTTTGCTGATTGCTAAAAAATAAATTTACAACAATAATTGATGAAAATAACATAAAAGTAAGTACAAGACATATGCCAAATTCTACATGGTAAGTGGTAAATATTAAGTAATTCCCAAAGCACATATTTCCAGCAATTACTTGAACAATTTTAACCTTTTAAATTGGCTTGATATTTAGTATAAAATGGTTTGCTCGAAACATGAAAAAGATTCAATAATAAAGATTAACTTAAACATTATTTAGGTTGTGTGTAGAATATCTCTCTATTATTGTTTCAAATATTGTAGATCAAACTGTAAATTGGTCATGACATGACAAGTTTTTCAAACTAATTTGATTTATGATTCTATCACAGACATTTCACAAAAATGGACAGGCAATAAAAGTTCCTATCTGTTCCTGTATAATTGCAAAGAAGTTTTGTAAGTAAAGGGAAAGAGATCCATATAATCAAAGAAACCACTTTTTTTTTAATAAGGTATGTAATTAGGTGAAAAGCAATGATTAAATTGATTATGTTGTACACTTGAATCAATTAATTACCATTTCACACTGTTGCAGATGAATGATTGCACCTCTTCAAGTTCTACAGAATTATTAAATGAAGGAATCTGCATCAGAATTACTGACTGCATGTCGCTGCAACATCTGTGCTACAAAGTTTGATTGTTTGATAATTGTAATTCTAAACTAAATTTGAAAAATAACTTATTATATGGAGTAGTTTAACCACAAATCTAAAAAAGAGTCACCATGTTGCAGGAAATGCTAGTAACTATATTAATGTCAATATTGATATATAGATGTGTAACCTATAGATTTAGTGTTTTATATTAGTTTGATGTTAATAATATGACAATTTTTAGTAATATGTATTAGACTTTAATATAAAATATACACTAGCATAACAAGATTTTCTCGAAATTGGGAAATGCAGTGTATGCAAGATAAAAATATACTAAAATATAGGGAATTAAGTATCAAGTACAAAAGATAAAAAAAATACCATTTAGTGAAAAATATGAAACAAAATTAATTTATTAAATTTGGATGTTACAAATATCACAACTTATAATAAAACCTAAACCTTTTTTGAACTAAGTAATAAAAATTAAACAGAGATTGTATACAATTTTCTTACAAGTAATTTAAATTTCAACACGGGTACTTTACCCCAAAATGATGCCTCCTAAGCTCATTATTTTTCCTCGTTAAGGAATCTATAGGTTACACATCTATGGAGAATAGTAATAACAAAAGAGTTAAAATGCGGAATCATTAGGTTCATGATAATTTTATGAATTTATTTGAGAAGTAAAACTTAAATATTGTATTCTATTTTTACATTACATTATATTTAACATGACTTTTACATTTGCAATGTTTTGATAGGAAAAGTTTGGATTAGGGGACTATTTGGAGCGTTGGCAGTGCAGTTGGTGCTTGACCGGATCATATTTTACATATCCAGGTACGATCTCCGCTATATAGTAATACGTTCTTCGAATTTCATGATAACATCCATCCGACATTCTTACTGTAAATTACAAATCGCATACAACTGCATAGAAATTTAAAGATATGTGTGAAGTCAACCAACCCTCACTGGCTCTGCGTTGTTGAATAAAACCTAGTCGCATTCTTGAGGGTAGGCTCCGAGCTCCTCAGTGGAATATAGTGTGTCCGTATAGTGAGCTTGATGATGACGATTTGTTTTGCTTCAATGCATATTGTCTTGTTAGCAATTTTCTAAATATTTTACCAACAGATAGGAGCTAATCTCTTTCCAGTGCTATTCTATTTCTCCCGACAAGAGTGGCACTACTACTCCAGTTCTATCAGAAAATATGAGCTATCAAATAAACAAACTGGAACAAATAAGCATTTATTATAGTTGGGGTATTTTGTTGGTGAACTAAACAATAATGGTATTATTAAGAAAGCAATGAGCATTATGTTGCGTTCTTAAAATATGTTCGCTTTAGTCAGAAGATTAAATAAAGTTGCAATTAACGAAATTGTTTTATTTTTCCAAAATTGTTTTCCCTCGAATAATTGTTTTTTTTAGGTTGGTAGCAACGTAGACTTGTTCATAATATTGCTAGCATTGAAAATGTCAATTTTTATTCTCCGTTTGTGTATCTAATTAGTCAAGAAACCCGTCTCTTATTTTATATACTCTTTGCAGTGGACGACTAAAGCTGTAAGTAGCCAATAGACGCGCGGCACGTTCGAGCGCGGCAGTAATCGGGCTGCCGCGCGCGGTCCAGGCTTCGGTTGTCTCTATACGACTGGCGCGACTTCTTAGGTTCGGCCTGATGCGGTCGATCAGAGGGTCTAGCACGAATATCCGTGAGAAAGCTTTCGTAACATCACAAAATTTTCAATTCAATTTCACCAACAAATCTCATAAAAGTTTTGATATACATATTTAGGCGATACGTTATGAAGGCGCCTTTCGCAAATATTCGTGCTAGACCCTCAAGTACGCGCTTTCATGCAGTAATGTAGCAAATATACGAATTGGTTGTTAACGGTTTTGATAATCACGAAACGTAAAATTACGTTAATTTGTTTTTATCAACTGACTCAAGGTCATCATTTTCAATAATAGCTTAATAAGTAACCAGTGAGTAACTTATGGAAATTACGTTTTATTCAACTGGTGGAATGAAAACCTTTCAAGGGATAGTAAGTTCAAGAGGTTGCTATTAGAAACCAAAATAGCATAGCAATATTTGATCATTGAACACGATAATATTGAAGAAATAAACAAGACATGACCACAATATTTACATTTATTATTCTACATTATTTTACTCTTTAGTATTACAATTTGGAAGTGTGAGGCACGTGGTCCAGCGGCCGCGGCGACGGTACACTCCTTATAATACATTTACAATGCAATATGCTACATCTTAACATGACAATAAATACAAAATTGTTTTTCATTCGCATACACCTAACCTCGCTCACAAAACTATATTCACCACCTTTAAAGTTTCAGTTTACGTCCGTAATGACAATGTCGTCAATTTACAAATTATATGAATATATACAAAAATAAAAAGATTTCCATTGCTGTAGTATGTTTAAGGAAATATTGTGTGATTTTTTTAATGATTCATGTAAAATTTGTTTGATGCTAAACTCTTTCTTATTTAAGTTTTCATACTATTGCTACTATACAAAGCGTGAAATTAATTCAATATATTTCTGCGTATAATAATAATAATAATAAGCGGAAAAGTTTGTTTAAACGCGCTAATCTCAGGAACTACTGGTCCGATTTGAAAAATTCTTTGGATAGTCCAAAAAATTTGTTGTATAGTCCATTTATATAGGAAGGCTTTAGGCTATATAACATTACGCTGCGACCAATAATTTTTTTTAATTCCGCGCAGACGGAGTCGCGGGCGACAGCTGGTACAACATATTTAGTAATATATATCTACACTTATAGCTGAGAGATGTTTTCTTTCTTATTATAAAGGATTTGAAAATTATAAAAATTTCAATAAAATATACGTCTTTTGTTAATATAGACAGCACAGCAATAATTTGATTTTAGTAAGTCAAAAGAAAATTCGTTAATCTCATTATAATGTTTAAATCTTTATCTCTGGTCGGAGAGGCACCTCAAGAAGAAGAAGAATGTTTAAATTTTCGGAGATTTTTAACATGCTACAAATAAAAAAAAATATGGAAAAGAAAGGTTCGCGCCATGTTTACGTCAAATAAATCATGTCCAAAATAATTTCACATATAGATCGTCACATTACACGAGAGCTAATCGAAAAAAATATATATTTAAATTATATGTCAATATATTTCGCAAATTAAACTTGAAGAAATAGAGTAATATAATTTATGACAGATAATGTTTTAAAAACTTTAATTTAATACACGTTGTTTAGACATTGCGTCATTATGGATTTAAACTATTAAGGTGAACAAGTTACGGGAGAACAACTTAAGGGAGATTTAAATTAAATAAAATGGAAAGTAATCAATACATAAATCAGAGTCGATGTCAACGTAGAAACACAAACAGAACCACATCCGATGAAAAGAGTTACATGTCTTATGTTAAGATATGTAACCCTTTT